AAGAAGAAGAAGAAGAAGAAGAAGAAGAAGAAGAAGAAGAAGAAGAAGAAGAACATATCAACAACAACAACAACAACAACAACAACAACAACAACAACAACAACAAGCCTGTGGTATAGGACCACTTGACCATATTGCCAGAGCCCGGGGTTCCAATCTCCCAGGTGTTCACAGTCAACATCTCCGCGCCGTGGCCAAACGCGCTGGTAGGTGCTCAGGAACCTGGCGCTGGCTGGGAGGACAACAACCGTTGTTGTGTTTGCAGATAGAAGGATGTTTTTAGTTTTAGTAAGAGTTTTACGACACTTGCAACACAATAATGCCATATTATCGACCAAGATTAGAGGTGTTAAAAGAGAGTGACAAACATAAAAGAGAAGCTGGAGAGACCCGGACGAAAGACGTTTGATAGGAAAGAAGGAGCAAACCACACCGGAGCACCCGCCAACCGCCCACAGAAAGAACTTTGAAATTCTAGGGTAGTGGTGTAGTCCTGTACCTGGAACACAGGGCTCTTGGATGGGCTCTCCGATCTTTGCTACAGTGCACTTGCCATCCTCGTAGAGGAACATCTGGTCCTGGGGTGTGGAGGGGGGAGGGGGGAAAACAGTCTGGTTAGTGATGGAGTGTGCAGACACAGACACACACAGACACACACAGACAGACACACACAGACAGACACACACAGACAGACACAGACAGACACACACAGACAGACACACACAGACACACACAGAGATACATACAGATACATACAGAGATCTTGTCCTGGGGGGCGGGGTGGGGGTGGGTTAACAGTCAGGTTAGTGAGGGAGCGTACGCACACAGACAGACACATACAGACAGACACACACACATATACACACAATACATACAGAGATACACACACAGATACATACAAAGAACTGGTCCTGGGGGAGGGGGGGATAACAGTCAGGTTAATGAGGGAGCATGCACACACAGACAGACACACACAGACAGATACACACAGACAGACAGACACACACAGATACCCACAGGCACGAACACACACACACACACACACACACACACACACACACACACACACACACACACACACACATACACACACTCTCTCTCTCACACACACTCTCTCTCTCTCTCTCTCTCTCTCTCTCTCTCTCACACACACACACACACACACACACACACACACACACACACACACACACACACACACACACACACACACACACGAACGAACACACAAGTAAGTAGTAGGCAAGTAAGTAAGTAAGTAAGTAAGTAAGTAAGTAAGTAAGTAAGTAAGTAAGTAAGTAAGTAAGTAAGTAAGTAAGTAAGTAAGTAAGTAAGTAAGTAAGTAAGTAAGTAAGTAAGTAAGTAAGTAAGTAAGTTAAATGAGTAAGTAAGTAAGTAAGTAAGTAAGTAAGTAAGTAAGTAAGTAAGTAAGTAAGTGAGTAAGTAAGTCAGTCAGTCAGTCAGTCAGTAAGTAAGTCAGTCAGTCAGTCAGTCAGTCAGTAAATAAGTAAGTAAGAAAGAAAGTAAGTAAGTAAGTAAGTAAGTAAGTTAGTAAATAAGTAAGAAAGTAAATAAGTAAGTAAATAAGTCAATCATTCAGTCAGTCAGTCAGTCAGTCAGTCAGTCAGTCAGTCAGTCAGTCAATAAGTGAGTGAGTGAGTGAGTGAGTAAGTAACTATGTAAGTAAGCACTGTCTACATCAATAGATAGAATGCTTTCATATTTGTCAGACAGATTTATTCTAAATTCTGAAACAATGTCAGCGAAGATACTTGATTTAACACAGATTTCTAAATTCTCGTCTTTTTGCCTTCAACTGCGACATACTGGACGCCAGATCGGTTAGAATATCTGGTACTGGTACACTTTTAATTCAACTGGCCTATACGAACCAAAATGCGCGCTATTAGTACATCACGGGCATAATTATCAGACCGACTAGATCGAAATGGTGCACTTCGAAAAGAATAGAACAGGAAAGGGTGTCATTGGTAGGTTGTATTCCTTTTCTCTCTTAGTAGTTTCTGTCTGTCTGTCTATTTTGCTTTTTCCTCAGCTCCAAACAACCGCTATTATAATTAACTTTTTTGTCTGGTTCTCTTTCATTGCTAAAAAAAAACCAACAACAAAAACAGTCAGAAAAAAACCCTTGTGACTTGGACGACCACCAGGATTTTCCTCAACTCACCACCAACTGGATCTGGCCCTTTTCTAGTATCTGCGTTTTCTGCCATTTTTTGGTCCAAAATTTGCCCAAATTTACCTCAATCGTTATTACTATCATCGCTAGCATGGCTTTTATTTTTAGCTATTGTTGTTAATGATATAACATTGATATTATTATACCTTTTCCCCTTCTTTCTATCTCTCCATCCGAACGAAATATATATTAATATATTACAATCCATTTCATTTAAGTATTTCATTCTTCTTCTTCTTCTTATTATTATTATTATTATTCTTATTCTTATTATTCTTATTAATATTGGTATTCAGATAATCATTACTTG